TAAAGGGAAAAAACACTTTTCTCAATGGCCTATCATTTGTCAGGCAGCTCCATCTCATTAAGTCAGCACCGGTTTTTCTGCAGAGTTTGGATCCTTGCCTCCTCAATTCTACCTGGAAATTACATACACACACACATACAAACACACACACACATCTTAACAATTGTTCCCTTCATTACACAAATGGAAGCTTTGAAATGATCATTTTATTAAGGATTTCATCCTTAAACATGAACCCTTGTTTTTCCAAGTTTCCCTCTTGAGGAAATGGAGGAAGTGACTTATTTTTGCTATAATCTACATTGTTTCTTTTTTTTTTGGGGGGGGGTGTTGCTATAGGGCACATGCGCTCACCAGAGAGAGAGAGAGAAAGAGACAGAAAGCGAGAAATTGCCCCCCAGGGGGGATGGCCAATCCCATCTCCTCCATTCTCCTCTCGGGGTCTTGGGCACGCATGCACACACGCCCAGCGTGAGTTTTAAGCCACCGGGTCCGGGACGCAAACCGTGGTCAACTATGTGGGAGTCCAGCAGCATAGCCATTATGCTAACTGCTGGTCCCTCTACATTCTGTTTCTAATCCTCTGTTTTCTATGGTGTTTAATTTCCAGTTCCACATCCAACACATCCTCTATTCCACAGCTGTACATTCCCAGAAAAATCTAAACTCCATGCTGTCTTTGACACCAAATAACATGCAATGTTCCCCTCTGTGTTTTTTTTTTCAGCTTTCTATAGAACTGTACATTTACTGTAATCTGTAACACTGGCCAAAGGAATGAGTGAGTGAATGCAATACTATCAAATATGCCTTACTCATTGGTACTCCTGCAGACTCAGTGCCTATTACTGGGTTATAGGAAAAGTCATGATTGATTATTATTTCTGTGTAAAAATGCATCATGACTTTCCCGACAACCCAACAGATGCTAGGTACAAAGAAGATATTTATTAAGCTCCTGACAATGGATTGACACCTGCCACTTGTCTCTCCATCAACACTGATTGGTGCCAGTTCTATCCCTTAAAATTGTGAGAGTGGGGTGGACTTTGGGAGGGGAAGAAAAAGGAGAGACTGAGCCTAGAGTTCTGCTGAGGGAGGTTCACAAACCAATAGCTTATTTTAGTGGTAAGTCCCTCCTCCTTGGTGTCTTCAGTCATCCTCTGACGTGTGACCTCTGACATTGTACAAATTTCAGATAAATCATGTAGAGGTGTCTTCTCTGTCCAATGGGATTCAGACAGAGCTTGAATTTCACATTTACTCATTCAAAGTAAATATTTACTAAGCTCCCAATGGGTGCCAGTTATTCAGCTTGTCTAAGATACAGCCTTCCCCACACACACAGGGAATCACATTTAGAGAAAGGTGACAGCTGCCAAGTGTGGGCTCCCTCCCCTGATGACCTTCAAGTCCTCTTGAGCTTGAGTGTGAGTGACCCTTGGATAGAGGTACATAAGTTATGGGTCATTTCCTGAGAAAAGACTTTTATAGGAATAAGGAAACAGGAGAAGCAAAGTGATCAGCTGTTAACAAAATGGTAGGAGTTCCTGGACTCAAACAGTGAGAGTGATTTGAGGAAAGAGTTTGTGCTTTTCCCACAATTTCTAAAACTATGTCATATGGGCGGTCTTTGGTCCAAGCAAGACTAGAATTGTAAGTCTGTCCTCAGAAGTCATGGTCAAAAGAACAAACCCACTACCACTGGTTTGGTCCTTCCTCCAACGTCCACCATCACTTGGCTCAGCCAGGCCGCATGAGCAACACTGGCTGATTCTCCTGTTATACAAACAGGGCATTCTTCCTTATTGTGCCTGGTAGGAACAAGTTTAGTAACCATCTTTCTGTCCTCGTTTAATTGGTCCATCTGTGAGAAGGACATAGCTGTGTCTTCTTTCTTAAAATAGTTTCTTTACTGAACATCCATGTTGCCTCACTTTCCTCTATTTTCTCTTTTTGAATTAAGAATTTTTTTAATTATTATTATTATTATTATTTTCCAATTTGATCAGAAACAGAGAGAGAGAAAGTGAGAAAGGAAGTCACCAGGTCCAGGACTTGAACCATGGTTGGCCATGTGAGAGTCCAGCACCTTTAACCACCCTGCCACCTGCTAGGCCCCCCTTCAATTTTCTCTTAGCCCAGCGACCTCTGCTTCCTATTATCTTTGTTGGCTTCTCTGCTGCTGAATCTTACATGGTTGAGGGGCCCCAGGCTTGCTCCCTAGACCCTCTGTTCTTTTTACACTTCCTGCCTAAAGGACCTCATCCATTTCCATGACTTCAAAGGCCAAATATATGCTGATAATTCTCTAATTTGAACCTCAGTCTGAGCTTCTCTTTGAGCTCTAAAATGAAAAATGCATCTACCCATTCCATAGCTTCCTTTGAATAGCCAGTAGACATTTCAAATGTAACATGTCCAAATTGGGCACCTGATTTCCTCAATGTACACAGACGTACATATGTGCACACACACACACACACTCTCTCTTTTGTTCAAGCCAAAACTGAAAAACTATCCCTGATTTCTCTTACCCAAGATCTAATCCATCAACATGCCCTGGCAGCTTCCCTCCAAATATATCCCATAGTCAGAGCTATATCTTCTTCTCGCAAACAACGTCAACAGTATGAGAAGAGAGTTGGTGGCTGATGAGCCAAGTCTCACATCCCACATCTGCCACCAATATACCCCTCAGGAGTTTTATTCCCTCTCCTATTTATATTACAAAAAAGAAAGAAAGAAAGAAAGAAAGAAAGAAAGAAAGAAAGAAAGAAAGAAAGGAGGGTTAAGAAAGAAAGGAAGGAAGGAAGGAAGGAAGGAAGGAAGGAAGGAAGGAAGGAAGGAAGGAAGGAAGGAAGGAAGGAAGGAAGGAAGAAAAAAAGAAAGGGAAAGGGAAAGGGAAGGGAAGGGAAGGGAAGGGAAGGGAAGGGAAGGGAAGGGAAGGGAGAAAAAGAAATCCAGGTGTAGATTCTGATAGGTCCAGTTGGACTACTTTCCGATTGGTCCCCTTGAACCAATCCAGTTTCTATTCTAATTACTTGGTTTCTGTGTAAAAAGAATAGCACCCAGAAAGAGGGGAGTGCTGCCCCCAGAACGGAGGTGATTCTGGACAGATAGCAAAAGAGATGTCTACCTGTCTCTACTAGAGCAGTGACTACCATGTTCTCTAAGCCACATGCAAGCCTGTCTGTATCCCCCACCTTGTCAGACAATGAGCTGCTTCAAAACAGGAACTAAGTCTTCATTTCTCTACAACCCACTCTCTGTGTAGTGCCTGGCACAAAGAGGTATGTGTGTAATAGAAATGTGAGTGAGTAAATGATACAGTTTAACTGGTGGAATGAAGGTTTTCCTTTTTTTTTTTTTTTGGAGAGGTTTTCGCTATAGGGTACGTGCGCTCGCCAGACAGACAGAGAGAGACATAGAGACAGAAAGTGAGAAAGCGAGAAATCACCCCCCAGGAGGGTGGTCTTGCAGTAATCCCTTCTCCTCCATTCTCCTCTCGGGATCCTGGGCACACATGCATACGCGCCCAGCATGAGTTCTAAGCCACCAGGTCCAGGACGTGAACCGCGGTTGAGTACGTGGGAGTCCAGCGACATAGCCATTACGCTAACTGCTGGTCCCCAAGGTTTTCTTGATAAGACATATTACCCAAGGCTAGAAAGATGGGGGGAGGGTGGAATTGGAGATAGTATGAATGAATTTAGCTGTTGAACCAGTAGGAATTGGGATTGCACAAGAGAGACAAGATGATCCCAGATGGGGGAGAGTGCCTAGGAAAACCCAGTGATAATCTCACACAAGGCGTGTTGCAGAAATGGTCATAGACCAACCTGAATTAAGCAGGCTGTGTGAGCCGACAGAACAGGGCCGGTTCCATGGGGAATGGCCAATGCATGTAGCCATTGTAGTCCACAGGGTTCTACACTCAGAAGGAGGTCCACAAGTGGGTTGAATGCTTATGTCCCCACTTTGAAATGCTTGATAATTTTATGTTCAAATCTGTGTTTTGCAAGTGAATTCCAATGGGACAATGATGCATGTACCAGGGGCTAGGAGCCTGGAGCCTCCACTCACTATCATTGCCTCTCACCATCTCCCCACTTCCCTAGGGTGGGCTGTTGACCAGCTGTCTCCTCACCCCTACCCAGTGACTATTGTCTCCTCCTTCCTGGGGGACAGGGTGCTGGTCATGGGTTCAAGGAAGGTCAAGATCAGGTGCCAGGGTGGAGTCTAGTCTTCATCAGGCAACCATTTCCTCAGGTCTCAGGGTGAATCCCCACCCATCCACGCCAGTCCCTGTGAGGTCCTGGTGCTCTCTCAGGGAAGCCAATATTAAATAGCAAAAAAAAAAAAAAAAAAAAAAAACACCTTGACAGGTCAAAGGAGAAACTGCAAACAAAAGGGAAGAGCTCTTATCCTAGTGTTTGAACAAGAGGCCCCACAAGTGACAGACCTGCCCTGAGTAAAGCTGAGGCTGAACAGGTGGGTTAGAGACAGGTCGTGACTGATGTTGAGTTCAGCTTTACTTATAGACCAAGGTTAGCATGCATTTCCTGTAAATGGCCCGATGGCAATTATTTTAGGGATCACAGGCCATTGGTCTCTGTTGCAATGACTCAAGCACAAATGCAACCAAAGGCAATTGATAAACTAATGGACAAAAATGTCCCTACACAACTTTATTTAAAAATAGTCTTCCATCTCTTATAAATGAGGACAATTCCTTGAAAATATCTGAGCAACAGAAAGGCATAACCAGAGAGACATTTCTAGGTTACCTTAACCTCACTGCCTAGATCAGTAGGAGGATATTAGCCAAGAAATGAGATTTCAGAAAAAAGAATAGTTGCAAGGTCCAAGCTCAAAGAGCCAGGGGCCAAGACTCCATAGGCGCAGTGCGCGTTGAAAAGGTAGAACAAGGCAGCACGAAAGCCTCACTGAGAAGCTGACACCAAGACAACTCACCAACCTAGACCTCTCCTTCACAGAAGAGAGGAAGAGCAGGCGGAGGGTCCGGACCACCTTCACCACAGAACAGCTGCATGAGCTGGAAAAGATCTTCCACTTCACCCACTACCCGGACATCCACACCCGCAACCAGCTGGCAGCCAGGATCAACCTCCCAGAAGCTCGGGTACAGGTACAGCCCTCCCTGGCCTCAGCCTCCAACCCGTACCCTGGGTGAGACCATGGGTGAAGCACTGTGTGTCCTGGGCCCTTCAGGTCTGCCCCATCTCAAATTTTCCACTGGTTTTATCCCATGAGTGCAGTCATACTGGCTAAATGTGATTTTCCAGGAAACAAAGTCACCATTGTTATAAGATGGCTTCTCTGCTTTGGGCTAGAGACAGAGTGAGGTGGTATTGGTGACTGCCATTGAGCTTGGCTCCCCACTAGGCTGCAGTTCCAAAATGCTGTTCCCCAAGCAGCCACATCTTGACAATCTGCACTGGGGTCTTCTCCCTTTTTCTGGAAAAAGCCAGGTGATAATGATTTTAGGTTTCATGGGCCATACTGTTACTGTCAGAACTTCTCCTGGTGGCCCTGGTGGCACAAGATCATCCACAGAGAATGTGTTATGAAGGAACATGGTGGTGTTCCAGTAAAACTCTATTTTTGAGCACCAAAATTTATATTTTGTATCTTTTGCATATGTCATGAGATATTCTTTTTGAGATTTTTTTTTCCAATCATTTAAAAAGGCAAAAACTGAGCCAGTCTCACAGCACAATTGTTAAGGAGCCAGATCCCATACAGCTGACCACAGTTCAAATCCCAGCCACAGCAGCTTGAAAAACACACCAGGCATGTTTGCATGAGTGCCCAAAATCATGGCAGGATGAAGAGCTGGAAGAGAAGGGATTGTGGCACAATCACGCCCCATTGGGAGATGCTTTATCCTTTTACTCTCCTCTCTCTGGCAAGCGTACAAGCTCTTTGGCAATAAAAAATATATTTATTAATTAATTAATATCGATAAAAATGTAAAAAAAAAAATCTTAAATCATGAGCCAATCAAAAACAGGTAGAGGGCCAGATTTGGCCTGCAGGTTATAATTCACCAACTCCTGACCTGGACCACATGGATATCTACGCTGGAGGGAGCACAGAGTGATGGAAAGGACTCTGGGTCCATGGTAAAACACCTGGTTTAAGCACTGGCAGCCTGATCTACCATCTGTACTCTACACCCCAGAGTGTCTATTGCTCCATCAATAGTTATACTAGGCCCTGGGACCAGCAGATGGTGTAATGGTTACCTCCCTGGACTCCCACATAGTCAACCGCAGTTCGAGTCCTGGACCCAGAGGCTTAGAACTCATGCTGTAAGTTCCTGCATGCGTGCCCAAAACCCTGAGAGGAGAATGGAGAAGGGATTGCGGCATGGCCATCCCCCCCACCGGGGGTTGTAATTTCTCGTTTTCTGTCTCTCTGTCTCTCTCTGTCTTTCTGGCAAGTGCATGTGCCCTATAGAAAAAATCTCTCTAACAAAAAATAAGAAAGGAAAAAAAAAAAAGAAATACACTAGCCCTGAGCCAGCAGGTGGCATAATGGTTAATGCACTGAACTCTCACATGGCCAACTGCAGTTTGAGTCCTGGACCTGACAGCTTGCATTCTCATTTTCCCTCTCTCTCTCTCTTTTTCTCTCTGTGTGTGTCTCTCTCTCTCTGGAGAGTGCACATGGCCTATAGCAAATTTTTTTAAACTAGTAATAATAAATAAAATTAAATAAGTATTTTTTTAATAGAAAGAAATATAATAACCCCTTGTCACTCACCAGGCTGCATCCAGCTCTCCTCAACATCCCCAGTTTTGCATACCCCATTAGCATATGAAGTTCCACCAAATCCAGACTCAGAACTATTGCCATGCCCCCCAAAACAGTTTTCTTTTTCTTTTTTTTTTTTTGGAGAGGACAGAGAGAGAGAGAGATAGAAAGCGAGAAATCACCCCCCAGCGGGGATGGCCATGCCGCAACCCCTTCTCCTCCATTCTCCTCTTAGGATCTTGGGCACACATGCACATGCGCCCAGCGTGAGTTTAAGCCGCCAGGTCCAGGACTTGAACCACAGTCGACCACATGGGAGTCCAGCGACATAGCCATTACGCTAACTGCTGGTCCCCAAAAACAGTTTTCTAAGTCACTTTTTTTTCTTTTCATAAATGCTATAGACTTCTAATTCACAATCTGAACCAGAGCCCAGGCCAACATTCCACGCTTTATTTTATTCCAACCTCCTTTTCTTCTGGCTAAGGCCCAGCCTGTCTTAGACTTTTTCCCTTTTTCTTCTTGCTTGGAATCAGGCAGCAGCTAAGGGGGTAGCACCGGCATCTGCTGTAAGGCCCAGAACTCAACACCTGCCCTAGCAGAATTATCAAGTATAAACAGCCAAATGCCGGGAACCATCAGGGTGCCCACGAACACAGGAACTGCCAGAGTACAAAGTACAGAGGCCATGGGGCCCCCAGGGCTTACACACTAGTGACCAGCCGATGGGAAACAGCCCACCAATGAGTTCTGTTTGGTCTCTACACAATATTTTAAAACTCAGGGAAAAAAAAATAAAACTCAGAAGCATTCAGTAAACACCAAGATTTCCACCTTGGAAATTGGATGATCATGCCACACCAGGCTCACATTTCCACATGGTGACTGTCAACAGGAGGGGGAAGCTGCCCATGTAGCCTCAGACTCCGCCCCCAATCACAGGGCACCAGAGCTTCGCTCAGGTTTGCCTCCCCATCTGCCCGCACTGGCGGTCCCCTCTCAGAAGGCAGACCTCAAAATCCAAAGAAATTCCGGTGCTGGAACTTTACAAATTGTCAAGGGCTGGGCCCTCTGAAGGTATGGTAATCACACATGTGGTAGGTAGGTGCTTTGACACAGCAAACCTCTTCTCATCTTCATACTTTCTCCTTAACCATAGATCTGGTTCCAGAACCAGCGAGCGAAGTGGCGGAAGCAAGAGAAGATTGGCAGCCTTGGTAGTGCCCCACAGCGGCTGAGTGAGGCCACCTTGGCACTGCCCACAAGATTAGACATGGCTGTAAGTGCCCGGGTTACCCTGCAGGGGTGGAGGGACTCATTGGAGATATTCCATCCAGACCCAGAAAACACCTACAGTAAAAAGTGCAAAGGCAATGCTTTTATAAACAGCAGAGGCTGGGACCAGCAGATGGTGTAATGGCTACATCACTGGACTCCCATGCAGTCAACCACGGTTCGAGTCCCGAACCTGGTGGCTTAAACTCACTCTGGGCATGGGTATATATGTGCACAAGACCCCAAGAGGAGAATGGAAGAGAAGGGATTGTGGTGTGACCATCCCCCTGGGGCGGGGGAGGGGGTGATTTCTCGCTTTCTGTCTCTCTATCTCTGTCTTTCTGAAGAACACATGCCCTATAACAAAAATCTCTCAAAAAAAAAAAGAAAGAAAGAAAGAAAGGAAAGGAAAAGAAAGAAAGAAAGAAAGAAACAGCAGAGGCCAGGAGGGGCTTGGAAGACTGCAGGGCCTAGAACAAGTAGCCAGCCTTTCTCTGTCCCTGTGTCTTCCTCCCAAGTGACAATCACAGTGCCTCTCCCTCCTCCAGAGAGTGGTTTGTATCATCTGTGCAAAATTTCAGTTTACAAAACAGGGTCACAGAGCACAACACAGTACACAGTGGTTGAGTACATTGGCTCAGAGACATACTGCCTGGGTTCAAATCCAAGCTGTGCATTTCCATGTGGATTAGAAGAGCCACCTCGCCCCTCCAAGGCTAGTGGCAGAGTTTTGATGAGGATGAAATCAGTAAACATGGAAAACACTTGGCACCTCAGAGATACTCTATAAATATTAGCTGTCCATGTCAGCACTTGCTGACAGGACTGTCAGTGCTAAATCCAGAAAGTCCTGGCCAAAGAGGACAAGTCGGCACTGCTGCCACCCAAGCTGCCAAAGCCAAGGGAGGCAGGCTGGGAGACTGCAGGGAAGCCCACGGTAAAACTCAGTACTCACTCCTCTCTCCTGACTTCTCCTGTCCAGGGCCCAGCACCAATGCCCACCACTCTGCATAGGCTGCCTCCTTCCACAGGGTTGTATCCATCCTTGCAAGGTCAGCTGGCACCTTCCTGGTTCCCTGCCTGGCTCTCCCTGCTCCACCAGCACCCCTTGGAGATGCAGCCACCCCCAGGCCCTCTCATCCAGCAGACCTGTGTGCCTGGCCTCTGCTTCGTTTCTCCTCCACACCCCAAATGGAGCAGCATCTGTGCCACTTCAACATAGGGATTTGACATTCTTTCTCCGAACAAGCCACTCTCTTCTCCAAGAAAAGGCAGGTGGCAGAAGATGCCCTGGATCTTGGGGAAATCAATCTCACAATCCAAAGAAGGTTCACAGCCCAGGCAGCTCCTTGAACGTGCCCCTTGGAAGGTTCCACCAAACTCAGCAGCAAGATAAACCAAAATGCCAGCTCTCATCTCTCCTAGCCAGTCACTCTCCTCTCCAAAAGACAAGCTGGGTGAGCTCTCAGGACAAGCTTGTAATGAGGAGTCATCCTCTTGTACTTTGCTTTCTCTGACTATGTGACCTCCAGCCAGTGACTTGCCCTCTCTGAACCTCGTCTGTAATACAAGGCAGTTGGACAAGATGATTTCTGAGGACTCTCCAGTTGTTATTTCGCTGAACATCAAGGTATCCAGGAAGCTGAGGAGAGAAGTTTGTTCATGCATTCATTCATGACACATTTATTGAGGACCTACTGGATGCTTCATAAGCAGAACTAGAAACAGATATAAACCACTCAGGTCAGTTAAAAAGTAGTGCTGACTTCCCCTAGCAAGCAGGACACTTGCTTGATGACCTCGCAGTTGGCCAAGTCTAACGTATCCTTTATGGCTTTGATGTGAACATCCCATAATGGGAAAAATATATAATAATTTCTTTAATTTAAAACAGAATCTAGTGTCTTTTATTACTCTAGTGGATTCAGAAGGGTTGTTTCATTCCTGGTATGATTGAAGAGCATGGCAGTAAGTACTTCTTAGAGGTTCTCTTTCCAGGACATGTGCCAGAGACCCAGCCAGAAGACCAGCTTCATGGGTGCTAAACGCCTGAGATTTCATCCAGGTCTCTGCTTCCATGCAGCAAGACCTTGAGCAACCATGTGCCCTCTCTGAGCCTGTTCTCCTCTCTGCAAGAAGGTAGTAACTCCCACCTGGTCTGACTCATAGAGCAATCAGATTCTGCAAGGTGAGGGTACTTTACAAAATGTGAGGACTGGTTCCATCATGGAGTGGTATCATCTTCCCAGAGTCCACTGGGAATGTGGCTGCTCACAGCCCTAAGTAACTCTCACCCATGTGGTGGCCAAGTATCAAGCTTCACCTTTGCACAAATGTCTCTGAGTCTTGCCCTCACTGGTGGAAGACAGGACCTGCTCTCCTGAACTGGGTGATCTGGATTGACGTCCATGTAGGAGTCTGAAGTAAGTTCTAGGAATCTTCTCCAAGTCCCAGAACCTCTGCAGTCTGCCTGGGCCACTGACCCATGCAGGAATTGGGCTGAGAGTTGGGATACCTCAGGCTTAGTCCTGCACTCCCTCTAATTTGCTGTGTAACCTCCCCACTTAAACTCTCTGGGCTTCAGTGTTCTCATTTGTAAACGAGGTAGCAGTGTTGGCTCTGCCTTCAGAACCACAGTCTGAAGCTTAACTGTGCAACATGTAATTTTTATCACTTTCCTGCAACTGGATTGACTTCCCATGTTATTGGCAGGAACTTTATTCTAGTATGTCAAGGTTGCTGATTCCTCAACCTCATCATATTTAAACAATGCTGCATTTAAGACTCTCCCCCCTGCTCCCTCCTTCTCACAGGGGAGATCTTTTCTAGGCTGAAAGTGGAAGTAGCAAGTGCCACCACCAATGTCTCCAGAGTGAGGGGATGTCCTCTTTGTCAGCACCCTTCAGGTGCACACTGGAAGACATCTCATCTGACCTGGCCTCAGGACTGACCCCTCTGCCCTGGTGGGCACCACCTCATTCAATCTCCTAAGGGGCATTAATCCTGCATCCCTTGATGTCACCTCCTCCCTGGATTTCTGTCTCTGATGAGCAGGAACAAAGGCTGACAACTCTCCCACACCCTCTGGGGCCCTGGGAGCCCTAGGCCAGGCAGTGGTTCTTACTCATTCGCATCTTTCTCAGCCATTCCTCATGCCCTGGTGATAAGAAAGGTCATGGGGGGATCAGCAGATGGCATAATAGTTACATCGCTGGACTCCCACATAGTCAACCACAGTTTGAGTCCCAGACACAGTGGCTTAAAACTCCTGCTGGGTGCGTGTAGATGCATGCCCAAGATCCCGGAAGGAGAATGGAGGAGAAGGGATTACAGCATGGCTATCCTCCCAGGGGTTAATTTCTTGCTTTCTGTCTCTCTTTCTCTCTCTGGCTCTCTGGTGAGCACATGCACCCTATAGCAAAAATCTCTCTCTTAAAAAAAAAAAAATTTAAATAAGGGTCATAGGGCCAGCCCTATAGCCTAGTGGTTGAGGGAGCCAGATCCCACATGGCCAACCACAGTTTGAATCCTGGTCCTGGCCACTTGAGGAACACATCAGACACATGTGCATGCCCCAAATCCCAACAGGTTGGAGAAGTGAATAGAGAACAGAAGGTGACAGTACCACATTCCATTGAGGCCAGGGGTTGGGGCTCTCTCGTTCTCTCTCTCTTTGACTCTTTCTATCTCTATCTCTGATGAGCATATACACCTTCAGGCAATGAAAAAAAAAAAAAGATCATGGATGAGATCTCCAGACTTCCAAGTGGAATAAAGGAGGCACAGTCCCCTCTGCTCTGGGGTCCTTAGTCCTTGCCCAGTCACATACCCTCTTCCCCTGACTACCCCAGAAACAGGGTTTGCCCAGCCTTGAAGTTCAGGTGACCAGATGTTCAGCCTCACTATTAAGGTAAATGTTTATTTTAAGGGGGCTATTTCATCCTCTCCAAGAATTATTTTAAGTTTCTTCATCTGTTTCTTTCATGAATGAGAGAGACAAAGAGAGAAACAGCACCCCAACAGGGTCTCGATGCCGTGATCCAACCCTCAGCCTCAGCCAGCTCCGATCACGGCACGCACATGCCTAGTGTACACAGGGCAGTCTGTAGACTTGCAGGAGGTCCCATTTCACAGCCAAACCACCATCTGGATCCTGCTCCTTAGGGATTTTCACCCCCAGGAACTACTTAATTCCTTGACTTTATTTCTGTGAGATAAAGACCTCCCATTAGAACTTGTACCAGCTGTGTTCCTTGGGCAAGAGCCATGTCCCCTCTGTGTGCCCGTTCCCTGGGTAACCACAGTTCGTCACCTCTTAGGGTTCTGTGACCGTTAAATGAGTTCAAACATTTTGGCACATAATAAGCACAAAACACGTGTAAATAAAAAAATCACTTTCTCAAATGATCTGTCTGCCTCTTTCAACTTCTGATCTCTAGCAGCTCTTCTGATCCCAAATTCTATCCCAGGAGTTCTTAAATCAGTTTCCAGGATATCACAGAACTCCCAAGAGAGTATACAAAAGTGTGTGTGTGTCTGTGTGTCTGTGTGTGTCTGTGTCTGTATGTAAGTGCATGTGTATGTGTATGCATGTGTGTCTGTGCCTGTATGTAAGTGCATGTGTATGTGTATGCATGTGTGTCTGTGTCTGTATGTAAGTGCATGTGTATGCATGTGTGCCTGTGTCTGTATGTAAGTGCATGTGTATGCATGTGTGTCTGCGTATGTAAGTGCATGTGTATGTGTATGCATGTGTGTCTGTGTCTGTGTGTAAGTGCATGTGTATGTGTGTGTGTGTGTGTGTGTGTGTATGTGTGCATGCATGT